TCCCAAAGGCGCGGGATTACAGGCTGAGCCACCGAGCCCGGCTATAAATATATTTTTAAAGCACTTGTTATAAGTTAACTTGGGTTAGGTTTTTAAATCAGCTTATTGCATGGTACATGTTCCTTGATTAGATTAAGAAAGAAAGAGAAATTGAAGATAAGAGCACATTTTTCAATGATTAACTTTAACAATTATCATTATATAACTTAGTAAAACTGAAAAAACATATTATAAGGATTCAGGAGCCTATTTGCCAGCATATATTAATATTTCAGAAAATATGCCTTTTGTAGTATTACTTAAATATACAAATGCAGCTAAAATCTTCTTATAGTACTTACCATAATATTTAGTTTGATAAAGTCTAATTGAGAGTCCCTTGGTCCCTATTTACTGTCCTTAGTAATGATGCCATTTTTAAAAAGTGTTTTCAGTTTGGTACAAGTGCACTGACATAGCTCTATATATCTATAACATGTTAAAAATTTTTAATAAAACTGAGTTTTACAAAAGTGTTTTGTGGTGATATATTTTGTTTGAAAAGGGCAGTTTTATTATGTTTTGGTTATGAATAAAGTGTTAAAGCACCTGAAAACATAAAATGCTTTATTTTTTAAAACATTGGGTGGGCATAGCAGAAATTGGAGATCTTAATATGAAAACATAATATAGATTGTACAGTCCTGCCTTGGTAGATTGCCAAATGTCCAGGTAATTATGAGCTGTTTTTACATAATAAATATTTCCCAATGAAAAGTAGCTTGAACTTAAGGGGCAAAAGTTCTTTTTTATATATCTGTTTTTCAATCTAAGCTTTTTTGTTTAAAAAAAACTGAAAAATATAAAGAATTCCTTTGTGAAGTATCTTCATCATCAGAAAGGTTTAGTTATGGAAGTTCTCAAAGGAGTCCATAAATAGTCACAGCTTATAAGAATATGTATATAAAATCTCCACACAAGAATAATTTGAAGACATTTCTTCATCCACTAGCAATGTCTACAGCTAGAATCCCAAGACCCATTAATGAAGAAAAAACTACCCCCCAAAACGTATTTTTAACAAGAAAAATATATAGAATTAATTAATTCCTTCATGTCTCTTGCCTCAAAATTTGAAAAATAAATTAAGAATATCTAATGTTATCTGCAATATAGGTACATCAAAAGAAATAAATCCAAGAAGGAATACACACATTCTATTCTCAGATCACAGTTTTTAAAATGAAATTCATTTTATGCCCAGAGCTTCCTACAAATTATATTTTGACAAATATGTTGCATATGTGACAATTTTACATATTTAATATTTATTATGATATTTTGTGGAATCACCCCTCACTTCTGAACTTGTCATGACCAAATCATGACAGAAAGACCTTTCACTGTCTTGCCCAGGGAAACTGGCCCATGAATAGCTTTTTGAGTCATGAGAAAACACTGGTTCTAAGAAGAGATCAGAAAATCTGATTATTTTTGCATAATTCTCATTTCTAGTAAATGAAGTTGCAAAGCATTGTCAAATTGAGTTCTTGTATAATCTCAAAGAATAAAAGAGCAATAAATAGAGGATTGCTAAAAACATCCAGTTTTTTTATTTAAAGAATAATCTATACTTTTAATCACTTAAATCATATGGGAAGCACATTCAATCATGAGGCTTTTTTTTCCATTTAAAACATGTATCAAGCACTAAACTAAGTGTTTGTTTCACAGAGATGAAGAAAAAACAAGTATCTGTCCTTATAGAGCATATATTCTACTAGAAGAGCCATTTAATAAGTAAATATATATATAAATGTATTTTAAATTTTTGATAAATGGGCAATGACCTATGTGCTGTATTAGAGAGCAAAAAAGGGGAAGAAAGGAAAGGAAATTTCAACTTTTTATAAGGTGTCTTGAAGGCATCTCTGAGAAGGCCAATTTAAGCTCACATGGAAGGCAGAGCTGGAGCCAGCTCTATGAGGACAGGGGCAAAATTCTCTCAGGTGAGGGAAGGACATTCCCAAAGCCACTAATTTGGGAAAAGTTGACTATCTGCTATCTGGGGCTATATAAAGGCCAGTGTGACTGGTATTGTCACAAAACATTAATGATATTGTTTAGATTCTTGAAGCTGAAAAGTGCTAATGCCTTATGGTCATTTTTCTATGTGTATTTATTTCAATAATCAGCTTCCTCAAGTATTTACACAGAAAATAATGGACTTTAATTATTACCAAGATTTGTTCCCCCAAAACCAACAAAGATATGGACACTAAATAGCATGATGCAACAACTCTTGGGTCAACACAGGAATCAAAACAGAGATTAAAAGATACCTGGAAACAAGTAAAAAAGAAGAAATATCTTACCAAAACCTCTGGGATGCCATGAAATCAGTACTAAGAGGGGAATTCATATTTCTATGAACACACATGAAGAAAATGGAAAAATTGCAAATTAACAGTCTAACAAATCACATAAGGAACCTGGAAAAGCAAGACCATAAAACTCTAACTTCAGCAGAAGAATCCAGATTACCAAAATAAAAACCCAAATTTGGGATGTAGAAGACAAAAATATAATACAAAAAATAAATGAAACAAAAACTGGTTCTTTGAAAGGATAAACAAAATTGATGGGCCCCTAGCTAGACTGACAATGAAAAAGAGAGGGAAAGGTCCAAATAAATACAATCAGAAATGCAAAACATCAAGTCACAACTGATCCTGAAGAAATACAAAAGATTATCAGAGACTACTATGTACACTTGTATGGAAACAAACTTGAAAACCTAAGTGAAATGGAGGACTTTCTGACATCACATAACCTCCCCAGGTTGAAACAAGAAGAAATTGAGACCCTAAATAGACCAATAACAATCCAGGAAATTGACTATGTCATAAGAAAACCACCTACAAAAAATAAAAAAACAAAAAGCCCTGGACCAGAAGACTTTGCAGCAGAATTCTGCAAAATATACAAGGAGGAACTGATACCAATCCTAATGAAAGTATTCCAGACAATTGAGAAAGGTAGAACTCTCCCCAAATCATTTTATGAAAGGAACATCACAGTGACTCTCAAACCAGATAAAGATTCAACAAAAAAAGAGAACTACAGGCCAATATCCTTGATGAACATGGTTGCTAAAATTCTCAACAAGATCCTAGCAAACTAGATCGAGCAACACATCTCAAAAATCATCCACCATGACCAAGTAGGTTTCATTCCTGGGATGCAGGACTGGTTCGACATTCACAAGATCATAAGCATAATTAAATACATCAACAGATATAAAAACAAAAGCCAAATGATTATATCATTAGATTAAAAAAAAGCTTTTGATAAAATCCAGCACCCCTTCTTAATAAAAACCCTCAAATAGCTAGGCATAGATGGAACATACCTCAAAATAGAGCCATCTATGAGAAACCCACAGCCAACGTACTGCTAAACAGACAGAAATTGGAACCATTTCCCTGAAAACTGGAACAAAACAAGGATGCCCACTCTCACCCCTCCTGTTTAACATAGTTTTGGAACTGCTAGCTAAAGTAATCAGACAAGAGAAGGAGATCAGGGGTATTCAAATAGGAAAAGAGGAAGTGAAGTTTTCCCTCTTTTCAGACACATGATTCTAAACATCAAAAACCTAAGATAATCTGTCAAAAACCTCCTTGCACTAATAAAGGACTTTGGCAAAGTCTCAGGATATAAAATAAATGTGCAAAAGACAGTCACATTTCTATACACCAATAATAAACAAACAGAAACCCAAATAAAAAGCCCAATCTCATTTACAGTAGCCACACACACAAAAAAAATGAAATACCTTGGCATATTTCTAACCAGAGATGTGAAAGACCTTTACAACAAAAACTGCAAAACACCGCTCAAAGAAATCAAAGATGACACAAACAAATGGAAAAAATATTCCATGCTCATGGATTAGAAGAATCAACATTGTTAAGATGTCCATTCTACCCAAGGCAATCTACAGATTTAATGCAATATCCATTGAATTACCAGCAGCATTCCTCTCAGACCTGTAAATGACAATACAGAAATTCATATGGAAACACAAATGACCACGAATAGCCAAAACAATTCTCAGCAAAAAAAATAGGTGGGAGGTATCACACTCCCAAACTTTAAACTTTATTATAAGGTACAATAATCAAAACAGCCTGGTCTTGGTACAAGGACAGGTATGCAAACCAATGGAACAAGATAAAGATTCCAGAAGTAAAACCTCAATTCCTCAACCAACTCATCTTCGACAAAGTCTCCACCACCAACCACTGGAGAGAAGAACCTATTCAGTAAACAGTGCTGGGAAAACTGGCTGACCACATGCAGAAGATTAAAACAAGACCCCTACCTATCACCATACACAAAAAGCAATTCTAAATGGATCAAAGACCTAAATGTAAAACCTCAAACTGTAAGAACCTTAGAAAATGCAGGGGACACCCTTATGAAAATGGGAACTGGCAACCAATTCTTGATCAAAACCCCAAGTGGCCATGCCATAAGAAATAAGATAGACAAGTGGGACCTCATTAAACTGACAAGCTTCTGCAAAGCCAAAGAAACCACTGAGAGAGCAGGGAGACAATCCA